CACTGGTCTGATATAAGTCATTTAACTCCTATAAGAAAAAAAAGGTAAATAATTTATTCTTAATAATTTTTTTTTTAAAATGAGTGTAATATAAGAGTTAATTGATTATTTTATAATCAATTTATTTTAAAGTAAATTAAAAAAATGTAAAATATTGATTGCAATATTCAAACTCAATTTCATGCTACTCAAAATCCTAATTGAATTGCCAACGTCAATTATTTATAAAAAGATGAAAAAAATTGGATCAAATTAAAATATTATTTTAATTTTATAAAAAAAAGGATGCAAAGCTAAAACAAAATTAAAAGATAAAACAATAATTTTCCTTTATTCTAGAAGAAATTTATGTTTAGAAAATTCTAAAACATGTAGCCGGAGCAAGACATTGATTAAAAAAAATATTTAGTCTAATTGCAAAACACCTATCATTCTCATCCCCCTCACATCTACTCTGACTTACAATTGGCTAATAACTTAGCTACCCATCTCTAATGCCTTTCTTCATGACCATCTCAATGAAACAGTCTATATGTCTCAATATCTAAGTTTTCAGAATCATCAACACCTAACTTATGTTTGTCTACTCCACTTATACATCTTCACTATTCACATGCAACAATTTGATTCTTTTTTCTTTAGATCAGTCTACCCCTCTTTATTGATTTGTAAAGGCAACTTTGTCCACGTCTATATTATAATCCACGTTGATGAAATTCTAATAACCGGGAACAATCCAAGTACCATCGCCAATCTCTCTTGTTCTTGCGCAACTCATCTAGGTATGTTGGTTGAAAAGTTTGACTACCAACTAAGATGTCTTGGGTTCAAAACTTACGTATGTGATATGCGTGTGAGTTTACCTTAATTAGCTTAAATGTTCACAAAAAAAAAAAAAAATTCTCTAGTTATTAGTACAATTACATTAACGACAACTTACAGACTTGATCTGAATAAATCAACATAAGTGAGAAAAGTACAAAATCATTCCAAAATGTGTAACACTATGATATCTCTTACCAGTAACATAGAGTGCCACATAATTTAACATAACATTCATTCTCAACATATGATACTTTTCATCAATTGAATAGTTGCATAAAACATCCACTGACAATTACATCTAATGAATGAACGAAATCATCTAATAAATTACATCGCAATGATATTTATATAGCCACTAAGAAAATTACAATGTTTCATCACATCTAACAACTTACATACCTTTTAAGAAGACATCACAAACATTTCTAAACATAAAACCTAAAGTTTCCAACACTTGCCTAATTGGCTCCACTTTCTCTTTATATTTTTCTGTAACAACAGCCAATATAAAATAATTGGTTAACTATGAGGCTCATAAAGTTATGTGAATTAAATAATAGTTTAAATGCAATATTATAAGAAATCACACTATTGAAATCATAATTAAATAAATTTACAATTATTTGCAAAACATCATGAAATCATAATTAGGATTAACCTTTAATTCTTTTGAAATCGGTACAAAATATCAATATTAGTCTTCTAAAGAATTGGCTAAAATGTAATAAGAATATTTAATAGAGCCTAGATAAACTTGACATTATCATCATTGAACTATATAGAAGTCTCTTATGCCTTTTTAAGCGACCCTTTTACCATACCTACTATGCAAATATCATATCTGGGGTCCCTTTTGCCTCACATACAATGCATATATCATATACAGGATTCATTTTGCCCTTCCTGCAATATAGATGTCATATACAGGGTCTGTTTTACCCTGCCTATATTTGCATATATCACATCATTTTATAGCCAATCATTTCTAATTTGATATTCAGTAGACTTCAAATACTTATATTCATGTTTTTTTGTATTGTTGCATGCTTTCATATCAATCTTTATGTTATATTGTTTGTATACAAAGAATATGTTGATAATAAATAAGAGATTGAACTTCTTTTCATAAAATTACCAACTAAGAAAATTTTTAAACATTCATACTTGATCTTATTTCAAACTCTAATTATTCATATAAATATGCAATTGCTTGTATATAAATACTTGAATTTATACTCATATTTACTATTGGAATTCTCATAATGTATTTATCTCTTCAAACAAGTCAAGTGACATGATATGTATATAGAATTAATAGTTCTTGCTTTTGTAATTTAAAATTTACATAACTTACTTTTCTGATGTGCTATCTTCTCCAATCCTCCACCTCTTAATCTTCTACGTTTGTAAGTAACATACAATCACATCTTTCAAATTCTAAAAATTTCACAATTTATTACTCAAATAAATTGTATAACATCAACTTCATATTTAACATAATAATTTACCTCAAAACCTCTGTTCTGCATATACTCAATGAATCCTATAACACAATTAGATATAATTGCTTTAAAAACTTTCATCACCTTTCTAGAAATCTAAAAGAACTATGAATATATCAAAAATACTCACCTCTTTCTTTTTCCTTCTCTAAGTTTCTCTGTTCTTTTCTTCTTCTTCGTTTATTCTGCTATTTAATCTAATCCACAGAGTAGCCTTTTTACTCCCAACAAAACTCGCTTCAATTTATACCAAATCTCTTCACACGACAAACTCCTGCTTTGCACTATGCCAAATTCTTCCACAGTTCCAGCACTATGCCGATCATTGCTTCACTGCACTGTACCACTCTCTTCACAACACAACATTGTACTGATACTTCTCCTGCAGAATTCTGGATTTGATTTTGCTATTTGCTGCACTCCTCTCTAATGCACTGTGCCGTGCCTTGATAAAATCCCGTAATTGCTTGCTTGCGAAAATCTTGATCAGATAAGAGAAATTATGATAGACTCACACAAAAAGACTGTTTATCCTACTTCCATCTCTGTTAAAACTCCTTCCACCAAGACCTTGCAAACTGAGTTTGACAATCCTGCTTCGCATAGTAGGCTTCCTCACATACCTTACCATCACAAGGCTAGATCTCTCTTTTGCCACTAACTTCCTGTGCTGTAATATGCACAAAACCCTCAAACTCTATTACCAGCACCTTAAACGCTTGTTTTTGCACCTTCAAAGCACAATCGACTATGACATTTCTATCTACCACGATCAACTGCAACTCAGTCACTTGGTAGGTGTCCTCAAGGTAGAAAACCCCCCATCACTTACAATGCTTTCCTTGGCAAAATTTTCATCTATTAGTGTGTCAAGATACAAACAATTGTGTCCAGATCATCCGCAGAAGCAGAATATCACGAACAATTAGTTGACATCATTACAAAAGCTCTTGCCACCTAAAAATTCAGTTATCTACACGAGAAATTGATGATCCAACAACACTTCTCTAAACCTAAAACTTTCAAATTGATCTCGGCTTTGCATGCCAAACGACATCTGCATGTAGTACTTAATTTCGTATGGCTCTATATAACCAAATAACTTAATGCAGATGTGGTATTAAAAAAAAAAAGGAGAGAGAGAGAGAGAGATTTTGTTTGGGACGACTTTCTTCCTGATTTACTAAAAAATTATTTTAGAAAGAAGAAAGAAAGCTGTCCCAAACGGCAAATTATTGCATCCGGTCACCAGACACGGAGAATAGGTTCGGACATCCAATAAAAATTTGCCACGTCACCTGCGCTTTTGACTTGCGCTTTAGGTGCACTTTGACTACGCTTTACCTATGCTTTACCTGCGCTTTTGACGCGCTTAATTTAAAATAATATTTTATTAATATCCGGTCCTATCTCCGCGTCCGGTAACCAGATGCAATAATTTGCCGTCCCAAACAAAGCCTAAATCTGAAAGAGGAAATAACTTTTATTATCTTTAGGTCAAACTCACCCACAGCTAGTTTGAAAAATAACAATAAAAAGAACCACAGAAGTTACCTTTATATTGGAAAACTTGACTTTTTTTTTTGTGTGGAAAACTTGACTTTGAATCGATGAAAAAAATAGAGATGGGGCCATCATTGGAGTACAAAATCAAAGACTCAAAGTGAAGCTGCTGTCACTGTCAATACATATCAATTTCTGATAGTCAATGCATCAATCCGAAAATGCATTTCATGGATGCCATCACAGTCAATACAAAGCAATTTCAGATGGCAAAAAGAAGCAGAGCGTCTTTGTTGCATCTTAGGAGGAGTCCACTAAAAATTGTATACATCACCACATCACTGAAGCAGCATTCTGTGAAACAGGGTACAATCCTCTAAAAAGGTTGCAATGAGTTATACCATTCCAGATCCGTTCCAGATGAGTTTAGGAAGCACACAATAACCAAGAGTTAAAAAAAACCTAGGGGGAACACATTAAAGCCCTAAATTAAAATATAATTCCAGAGGCTTCGTTTGGGACGGCTTTCCTACTGCTTAATAAAACAACTTTCTAGTAAAAAATTAAAATTTTTATACTAAAATGCTACTTTAAGAAATAGAAAGAAAGCCGTCCAAAACAAGCCTTAATCTTCCACCTTTACTTTTTAAGGTGGCTAGCAAATTGAAGTCTAGAGCTTTAGACTTCGTTTGAGACAAATTGTTTTCTATAGTAACTTTGTAACACAAAAATTCTATAAAATCAGCAAATAAAATGACTAAAAGTTGTCCCAAACGAAGGCTTAGTCCTTCTCTTCTATTCTCCAATATGAATCTCTTCAATGTAGTCGAACTGCTGCTTTTAATTCTCACCCAGTTTTTTCACTTTATTCGACTAGTAAATTTCTGTAGCTGAATTCAGTTTTAAATCATAGTTTTCAGTTTTGATAGTTTCGGATTGATTTCAATTTCTAGAACCGATCTGAAGCACATTTATATTTTCGATTGTTTGGTTGAAACATATTAGTTTCAATGGAATTTCGAATGAAACTGAAGAATTTCAAAACAAAATCACATTTTTTGAACGACTTTGAAGTAAAACTTCTGAATCATCATAAGAAAATCTATCAGAATTCTATTAATAAGGATTTATTAGTTCGAATGTGCGCTGTAACTTGAAAATCTATTACCTAATTCATTTGTTTCATATTTTAAATATAGTTTTATATTTTTTTATCAAAACATAACCAAAGCTATGATCAAAACTGAATTGCAAGCTCAAACAACCAATAGTTTTGAAGAAGAATATTAATGTTAGACCTGCAATATTCTGTCGTTCTTCAACAATGAAGTTTTCAAGCTAAGCAAAAATTCAACAATGAAGTTTTCAAGCTAAGCAAAAATAATTAGCAGCGAAGTTAAAAAAGCCCTATTGCAGGAATAAAATCGAATAGATTACAATTATCAGTGGCATAAACAAAACCTTTTTTTATCACGAAGGTGAGGAAAAAGGCCTAATTTTTTAGAAAATAAAAATATCAATTTTACAGTGGATTTCAGCTTGTTTCATTCATAAAAATCGTAGAAATCCTTCATACCAATTGAATCTAGAGCATAAATAATAAGTCTGGCCATTTTTTCCCACTGCATTTATGTTAAATTCCTGGATATTCAATCTTTTATCCACTAAAACGTAGAATTGACAATTTTTAAAAACTTTGATAAGCAGGTAAAGTTAAACCATTGTTTTCCATTCTCAAACCAACAAAAATTTTGAAAGTTGATAAATTGAGAGATAATCATAAAGTATATGTTAATATTCATAAATGTAACCCTAATCTTTACATGACTTTTTCCAAAAGGTAGTGTAAGAAGAAAAAACAAGATTGAAATCTGTAAACAAAAATGATACCTGATACAGAAGCTCAAGGGAAGAGAATGAACCAAAATTCTATTTACAAAAAGAATTGCATCAAGGCACCAAAAACTTCACAACTCATCAACATCCAGAATAACTTCATCCAGTAAATCATCCAATATCAGTTGCTCCAGTAGCAATCCAAAACACTCTGCATCACGGTAGAGGTTCATCCAATCATCAGTTCTAGTAAAATTTCGGACCAAAATCTTATCAACCATGTTATCCAACCCCTGTGGTGAAGACAGATGCCATCTGATCTCAGCCCATACTTCCTCAAGTAGATAACTTCCAGTAGGCATTGATCTGATCTTGGAATGGAAGCGAGAAAGCCAAGAGCTTTGAACTGTAGAATACTCGTAAATTTCAAACAACACCTCATTTATCAAATCGTATATGAGCTGCTCCTCAAAAGGCATGTCACACAGCATGGGACTTGCAGCATCAACTTCAATAGAGGAGTCTTCTGTCTCACAAAGCAGTGCTTCATAGCTAGACTTGCTTAATATATGCTTCACATAATTAAATCTGGCAGAGTCTTTTTCGTCAACATGAGCATGAGAAGAATTAGCTTGATCACCACTTGTGGTAGACATTTTTGCAATATTAAACTCATTGAAGTCTACATCGTTCCAAGCTTTGGGGCATGGAAGTGGGTCCTCAACGTTTTCTTGTAATTGTTGCCAATCTGAACCTGCGAAGGACATAAGTGCATCTTCTTGAGAGTCAGCATATTTAAAAATCTAATGCAGTGGGAAAGTGCAAAGAGCTGCTGCTTCTAGCTTCTATCCGAATGCTAGTTATTTTTTGTAATCAAAAGAGTGTACGTAAACTCTGTCTATACAGATCACAGGTGGAAAATTTACGACAGTTATACGTACAAGATATGAGAAATCAAGTACTCACCTGCCATGACAATAAATTTCAAAGGACTAACAGGCTCTTCAATATACGGGTCCAGAACTGAGATGGGACTTGTCTTTTCAGGTTTGACATTCGGTTCATCTTCAATTTGAGACTCCTGCTCATTGAACAAGTCAATTTTTTCTGCCAAAATATTTGAAAACTGGAATGGCACAATTTGAATACACTCATTTACAGAGCCAGGGCGTCTTTCATTCCCTTTTGTCTCAGTAATGCTTGTTTCTACAGTAGGGGTTACAGTTTCATCTGATGCGTTGGCTTTGACTGCATTAGCAACAATGTTGGAATCCAAAGGCTGCTCTTGTTCACAAACAATTTCTTCGACTGCGGGTTGCATGACTATATCTTTATTTAGGTTATCCGAAGCACCAACAGTTGGTGCCAAATCACCATCAAGAGGTTCTAATGTTAGCTTCTTTGATAATTTAAATGCAATATATACTTCACTTTGTACATCCTTGACGAAAGAAAATGAACTAAGAAACTCAGGATTAGACGGCATTCTTCGATGGGTTTTTGGCAGTTCTCTATGCAGTAAACCACTACCTTCTTGCATTGAGTTTGATCTCTCGGGTGCTTTCCTCACTTTATTGACTGAAATAGAATCCAACAGTTGAGAGTATCTATCTAAGGATTCAGTAAGTGAACGTGATCTTTGAATTCCATTGAGAGAAATTTTTTCAATAGAAGAACCAGGTGCCACTCTATTGAATTTGAATCCTTGACCACCTCTTGCGACAGATTCGTCCTTTAAATGGGACTTGTCATCCTCTTCATTTTCTGGTAGCTTTTTTCTAGAAGGAACTTTATCCAAAATCCTATCCATAGAGATTCGATGGCGTTCCTTTTTACTCTCCACAATTACGCCCTTTAACCTTTGCTTCAGCTCCCTCAATCTACGTAAAACAGTTTTAGTTTCTCCCTGCTTTCTCGGTTCATTAGAACTAGATACAACTTCAAGATTGGGAATAATGCCAAAAGTTTTAGTTGGTAAGTCCCCTGAGTCAGGTTTAGATCCTTGATTAATAAATTCATCACATTCTATCTGCATACGACTTGGAATAGGAATCCCAGCTGCATTTCTTGACAACTCTAATCCAGCAAGTGAAACAGACCTGTTTGATGCTCTATTTTTTGCAGGAGACACCAATGCTTGTATATCATTGGCAGCGAAAGAGTTTTGACCTTTACATACATTATAAAGAGCTTCTCGATTGGTATTGAATAGTTGTAATGTATCCATAAAGATTTTTGACAGAAGTGAAAATTCTACTGTCATGCCCTTAGGATCTGAATCTTTCTGCTTTAAAAGGGCATCCCTTGCCTCAAATAATTTTTCCTTAAGAATTATGTGTTCATCTAGCAAATGATTTCCCAGTTCATCAAGCTTGCGTGACATAGAACCAATATCGAAGCCAGCAGCATTCCAGGCCTCATGTGCTCCTTGCTTCCCCCCAACAGACCCATATAGCCCATTAGTTACTAATGATTCATGCTCACTCATTGCCAGAAAATTAGTCTCATCTAAACTGAGTGCAATGGTTGAACCCTCACTATCGGAAGTCATCTGACCCAATTCGCCAGAGGTTGCATTATCGCTACTTTCTAATTGATGGACAGAGATAGTGCGCATTAGTTGAGTTGATGAATTGGGCATTTTCTCTTTATGTTTTTGCTTCTTCAACAGTTTTTTACCAATGAAATTAAGTATGCGTGTCTTGCCAGAACTTTTATTCATGTTATTGGCTCTATCTTCTACCTGCCATAAAAACAAGAAAAACCGTAAAAACACAGATAATTATAGCATTAAGCAAACAAGTTCATCAAAATAACACTATGGAAGAACATAAAATATTTGTGATACACCTTGGTACCAAAAAAACAGCAATAAACTCAAGAGATTCCACGAACATGCAGAATTTTGTTGCTAGGAAATCAAATAACCACAAGCAAGATACAATAATCCTCTTTCGAGAGGAGGATCTTTTCCCCCAAATCCTAGACGCTGCTAGGATCCCTCACACAAGAAAACTACAACAACACAAACTCAAAATTCTGCATAAAAAACAATATAAACCATAATCATAGACTTAAATAAGCTCTCCTCATCTTCCCTCCTAAAACAGCCCTCTTGCCTAATATATTTCCCTCTCCTATTTGAAATTCAATTAGGATATTCTTTCCTAATTGCTCTCCTCCTCACATTAAGTAATTAGATATTTGCTTGGCAACACCAAATCAGCGAGAATCCTTTGATTGACCTCCCGCCAAAACTCCCTGTGTGGGAGATTGTTGGAACGGCCGGTCCAGCCGTTCCCATGCCCGCTCCTTGCGGGAACCGGAGACAGCCTCCGTATCAATTTGATATAATGGGGATTTTTTTCCCGACAAACCTCAAAAAAAAAAAAAAAAAAAAAAAAAAAAAAAAAAAAAAAAATCGCCAGGTTGTTGTTGGGGTTCTAACGAAATAAAGATGTGCCTCTACCATTTTTGTATGAATACAATATTTTTGGAGCAAAATATCTAAAAGTTTGAAATATATATATGAGTTTAGCATGAAGAATGGGATTTGCGTGCTTACTATGTTGATCGCTCCTTTATCTGTCATAGTGTCTTCTCCTGATCCAGCTTCATCATTTGAAATGACAATATCGGTTCCTACACAAAAGATAAGACAACTAGAGTTTAATAACCTTATCTTGTAAGCATCATTTCAAGAACCATGCATTCTCTACGACAATACTGATATTACTATTGGAAATTTCATGTAGCTGTCGATTAATAAGACTTTTAGTTTCAAATCCCTTCCACCTAATCCAGCAGCTTAACCTTCAATAGGAATATTCACTGCCCGTAGAAGTAAAACATCTATTGATTGTTGGTAGGAAGAATATAACTGATATAAAATGATTGTTGTGTATATTCAAAATTTGGTCAATTTTAGCTTTCATCCTAAAACAAGGGTTCAGTAACTCAAATGTTGAGGAACAGGTGGATCGAGTCTTTAAAGCTATTGCATTGCTAAGCAAAATAGTCTTGTAGACACCAACAAAACACACTCTCTGGTTCCATTGTTGGCTTCAAGGGCATCTTTAGCAGCAACAAATCAAATATCTTTTTTGGTTAATGTTTAACTCATCAAAAAAAATTCTAATTAAACTTTCACTGATAATTTTTTTTTTAAGATTTGAAATTTGATTGTGAAATGGAAGCAAATCCAAATGAAAAAGTAATTGCAAATCTAAGTGTAAAAAATTTGGGAGAGAAGGCTCAGCCAAGTATAGTAGCCTGGAATGGTATTGATGCCATGCTGTTTTAAGAGACCAAGCTTAGCATTGCTGCCTACAATTGTAATGAATGACCTTGCTGTGCCTACAAAGAGTACCCTGAATCGATAAGGCATCATAACATGCACCACCACACACACATTCTATCTTCACTTAAAAAAAAAACTATGGCACCCAAAAATATAATAAAATTTCACACGCTCTCAATGAAATCACCGGCAAATATTGTAAGAAACCAAGTGTTAAATTATCATGGAGTCCAAGGCTGCAGTAAGTCTTCTTTGAACAGCTACCTTAATCCAAAAAAAGGTGCTATTTGACGAAGGTTTTAAACTTAAATACATTTACTATAAAAGATCTTTTACTAAATTAAAATCAGAAAAAACTAAATCAATTACATTGGAATTGTCAAGGCTATTCATTTTAGATCAAAATTTTGAATCGGAAATCCCTTAAACACTGGATGGCCTGCTCTGCCCCGGCAACCGGGTTGGACCAGATGATATGACGAGCAATATGAACTTGCTAGGATCATTCTGTTGCTTACTGAGTCCAGACGTAGATTAATCTGCTTTGATTTCCTGTTTTCTTAGGCCCTTCTACCTTTTTTGGATTTTTGTTACAGCTCCTAAACCAAAGGAAATTCCTTGAACAAAATCACCAGGAGAAGTGCAAAAACTAGAGAAAAGAGTACAAGCATGAATAAACTCGTCGATAGTGTGCTTTTTATTGGAACCCTCAAAATCCTCATAAAAGGAAAATTAAAACATGGAAGAAAGGCGGGCAGATAAATGAATAACTTACCTATACCATACTGCCGACCTCCGAGCCTACGGTATGAAAGCATCCTCTTGTTCTCACGTCTTTGGTAGGAGTCGAATACATGAAACAAACCCCAAATACACCCTTGGTTATTGTTTCCATACAATTTAGTGCTATCAAGCCGTAAGAGCTCCGCCATTGAAGCACACCTACGTTCAGGAATGATCTCCTTCCACCAGTAAACCTCAGCTGTAAAACCAATTTAATTTAGCAGGAAGCCATACTGAATCAAACTTAAGAAAAAAAATTTTCAACAATCTTTGAATATACTGAACAGAATAGTTGCCTAATCTTAAATTAAGCGAGAACAGAATAAAATAACAAGAAAATCAAATTAATATTACGTAATACTAAAATTCAGAAGCAGGAAGGAATATAAATTAATCCGATTCGTACCACGATCTCGAGCTAATTATCTGGCGAAGCAAAGACGTAAGAGACGGTTCAGAAATCAAATTAGGGTTACTGATCCAAAAAGCTTGATGATCGGAATTAAGCTAATTAAATGATTAACAATCGATCAAAGATGGTAAAAGCCCTTTAGTTTCTTCCGCTCGGTATAAATTTGATAAAGAAAGGCTACTTTTATCGTCCCATCGCGCTCAATTTCTTCTTGCCGCTCTGGTTCGCTTCCGCCCGGAGTCAATTAACGACCGGAATAAATTATGCGGAAGAAAGATAAACTCACGCTATTTTTAGAAAGCGTACGCTTCGGTTTACTGTCACGTGGGAGTAGAACTAGTTTGTGAGGACGTAGTGAATTACGAGTTTTTTTGGGGCTCCTGGAGCTGCGTTGGGAAACGGGAAACTGATATAGCCTGGCCAAAAGTGCGGGAAATTGGTAAACGTTTGCGGTTTGAGAAATTACGTGGAACTTTTGGTGGTGACCCGCCGTGACTGACTTCTTCCAATGGTCAAATTCCGTTCCGTCTTGACGACCGTTCGCTTCGGCAAATTAAAAAATAATTCATAATTTTGATTTAGGATATTTCGAGGCAGCTTAGCTGTCATTAATAATAATAATAATTTAAAACGATTATAAACGTTATTTTTTAAATATGCATAATATATATATATATTTTAAATCTATCACATTATAATAAATTTAATAATAAAACACATCACACAATAAAAAAAAAAATCTGTTATAGTCAAATAATACTGTAATGGCTATTTAGAAAGCATAAAAAAAATAACAAATAAAATCCAAAAAGTAAAACTACTAAAAAAAATTATGTCAGCTGAATATTTAAACTCTCAAAATGATTTGATTTTGTCATTTATTATTAGATTTGTTCAATTCAATATAAGGGGGTGTAAATATGTTATTTGTCTAATCGAGCTAAGCTAAATTAATTTAAATAGAGCTTAAATTGGAGCTCAAGCTCAACTCGAGCTCTTTTACGATCTCGAACTCAATTCGTTCGAAAATTATTAGGTTAGAACTCTACTTGATTACCAAAGCTTGAATTTGACTTGAAAAATAATGAAAAATATTTAGTGTATATTTAATTATATTATTCTAAAGTTAATTTTCAAATATATTTCAATTGAAATTAGGGGCTCTACAAGTGTACAAGTAGAGTCTTTTAAATTAGGGGCTCAACAAGAGTACGAGTAGAGTTAGACTAAAAGCTCGAGTATAGCCTCGAGGTCGAACATGTAACTTAATAAGCTTGCTTAGCTAGTGAGTTTTTTCATGAGTCGTGCTCGAACCAGCTAGTGAGCTGACTCGGCTCACTTAGAAAATAAGCTCTAGTTTTGCTTCAACTTGAGTTCAAATACAATATAAATTAAACGAGCGTGACTATACTAAGCAAGAATTCCACTTACTTATATCCCTATTGGGGGATTTAGTGGCCTTTTTTTTTTTAGAGGGGATTGTATTTAGATTATGATTTTGAATATAATTTAGAGCTGTAGATAATAACAACTGATAACATTGTGCTCTTATCTCAGCTCTTACTGATCCGTTATACTCGTTGGAAAGATTTATATTTTATTTTGTAATGATTTAGATCTTATATATTATGTGCATGCAAACATAATCATAAAGTTAAAATTAAAATTGATATGAATTTGTAATGATTTAGATCTAAAATTAAAATTAAAAAAAAAAATGGATAGCCTGCCTTAAACATTCTCCTAAAATATTTTTGATTGGTAACCTAGATTTTTTTAATATATATTTTATAAATTATGAAAAAATTGATATGAATTTTGTTTGTCGATACTTGGGCTTCGTTTCGGACGGCTTTTTTACATCTTCTTAAAGTAAAGATGTTTGGTGTGCTGGATATACGTATACTGTTAAGACGTTATATTTTTACTCTACCGCTGCGTATATTCCAGTCCGCAACAATATTAATGTTGTGAACGTAACTGATGTGGAGGATTGTTGGAAGAATCGAACATGCAAGAAGGAAATCTCACTCCAAAGAAAAACACAAAGCACTAAGCTTCAAAAGGATTCAAATGAGAATAGATTTCATATGCGAATCATCTACCTTTCCAAGTTTTTACTTATCCATCTAGGGAAGCTATTATATTTCCTTAAGCCATTTCCTCCAACATTAGAGAGGTCCAATGATGTCAGTTTTAAGAGGTAGGTGTCATTCATCTTTTCATTGAGAGATTATTTTGTGAAGCTGTTTCCAACAAAATATCTGAGAAATTGCTTTGTTCTGATCGTTGGCGACTTCTTTTTGGTTGGAGTTTAATTCATCTAGAAGAGTTTCATGAAATTCCAACTCATCTTGACCCGAGATGTTACTTGGTACAGTAGCAATAATTTCTAACGCTATTTGGCAACCATCAACTTCATTTCCAATAACTTCCTCCCAAGAAGTTGCATTAGATAATGTTCTGGCCTTGTTAAATTGTAAATCATGGCCTTCCCCTTTAAATGCTTTGATCATATTCTCTTGTGCTAGTAACCAGAGTTTGATTGAGAAAGGAGCACTTGGAAATCATATTGACTACTTTGGGAAGATAGTCCTTGAGGTCCTTTGACATACTGCTGCAACTCAACGGAAGGGTGATATCTGGATCTTTCATGATGATTATAGGATTCTACATTTGCATCTTCATTTGCTATGTTGGATTGTATTAATGAAATAATTGTAGTACCAACATGCTTATCATCTGGCCCAACAAATTTGTGATATGATACTTCAGTGAAATTTCTTCGAACAGCTTAGGAGCATTGCGTTGGATCAGTCTTGTCACTAGAATTTAAATCGGGCATTTTCACACCTGCAGTAAAATCGTTCACAATACCACCATATCATTTGTAATCAGTTCATCAATCCTAAGGGCATGAAAACCATCACATACCTCCATAAAATGGGCCTCATGTGAGGTTGCATTAATCACTGAATCCACTGGATAGATGTAATCAACATCTCCAGTCCCAACAACGCACCTATCATCACTGCCTTCATCCTAAACAGTAAGTCTTTTTTGCAATACGAGTCAACTGAGATGGGGAAGCTAGTGGCAGAGTAGGGGTGCTCGATGGCGAGGGTGAAGAGATTGCGGTTGGCAATGATGAAGAACTAGGAAGGGGTTCTTTAGAAGTAGGAGGAAGAGCCCAGCAATTGGGACTAGCAATGAACATGTAGGAGGATCGGATGGGGCGGACGATGGAAGTTGGGCCGGATCTGATTGGGATAAGGCAAATTTCTTTCCTTTGATGAAATCGATATTAACGATCGAAGGACCCCTTAGGAATAGGGTCAGTTGTGCTTGTGTGTTGGAGGAGCAGAGGATCGACGGGACCGATATGGCTGCTGACCTTCTCATGATTCTCTCCTCCGAATGCATGAAATTAACACATAAAACATCTATTCGATTAATTGATGCTATCATTTGAGCCACTTGGAAGGGCTTCACGTCATCGATCATCATCGACTACCCTTCTTCTTTGGCGTTGATCTTTGTGGGTATAGTGGGGTGGCTGATCTCAGCATTGGAGTAGAAGTTGGAGCGGAGGATAGTCGTCTTCTTCGACGTAGACCGCCCATCTCCTTCGGCGTTGATCGTTGTCGGCCGCCCATCTTCTTCGACGTCGATCTTTCTTGACCGCCCATTTTATTCGGCATCGATCTTCATCGACTGTCCATTTTCTTCGGCTTCAATCGTCATCGACAACCCACATTCCTCTGCAGCCCATCATTCTTCACAAGCTCTATACTCTGATACCAACTGATGTGGGGGATTGTCGGAAGAATCAGATCTGCAAGAAGGAAATACCAATCTAGAAAAAAAAACACAAAGCACTAAACTTCAGAAGGCTTCAAAAGAGGATGATATTCATCAATAAATGAGCTCCAATACTATTTACATCAGCTATATGTAACTTTGTAAAAGAATACTCTAGAAATAGGTAGTTTAGTACTACTGTAACTAACAAGGTAATTAGGTAGTGGAAAATAACAAATGCAAATAGGAATTATAAGACAAGACAGGGTATACAAGTCCTCAAGCATACTATAAATAAGATGTCCATATCAGTAACTCTTTTTGATATATTGGTAGAGAATTTTGACTATTAACTAAGAGGTCTTATATTTAAATTTTTTTTTTAATTTGTGTGAATTTGTATTAATTATCCTAAATGTAAAAAAGAAAAAAAACGTTGTGCCTCCTTGTCAACACTCGCAACATGCTTTCAGACCGAGCTGAGTGAATTACCGGACATTTATATTAATTCCTACGCGTGCAGTACATTACATTTTGAGGAAATTTCTGCAAAATCAATAGCAAAATACCAATCGACTTGCTGAAATTCATGGCTCTCAGAGCGCCAATCACTGGCAGATCTCTATCAAACGTGTTAAGGTCAATGAAGTCAACATCTGCAATGCGAGACGCACACCTGCAGGAAGAAAATTCGCTCCTTTATTTGTCTATCTACATACACCTCTTCACCAAGAAGAAGAAACGGAAGCGGCCTCGGATAAAGGAAACCTAATACCCTTTTAGCTTTTTTGTTTTACGGGAGCACATGAAGCTACTCCGCTCCTCGCCGGCCGCGGAACGAATCGGAGAAACTTCGTCGGAGACGGTCCATGTGGCTGTCGGGAGGTCGCCAGAGAAAACCCTAAGATTGCTGGAATGGACGTTCCAGCGGTTCCAGTGCCGGGAAATTGTCCTTGTTCATATTCACCGGCCTTCATCAACGATCCCAACGCTGTGTGAGTTTTTATCTATGGTTGAAATTTCTTTATTTGTGAGTATCCACATATTGCATATGTGATTTCCATTTTTAAATTACGATTTCATGAATTTCTTTTTAGCTATTCTCTACATTTTGCAAACATCCCTAAATGAGGGATAGAGCCTACATTTTGTTTTCTTCATAGAATTAGAATTTAAATTTGCTTGCTTTCGTTACTGAAATAGAGTCTTTCGTCTTGTTTTTATTGGCATATTAGGATTGGATAAAAAAAAGTTTAAGGATTTGGACATATTCTGTGTTTACTTTGCCTCCATTCATTAAGGATTTTTTTAATTAATATATTTATTTATTATTTACTTAATGAGCTCCTGGTGAATTACTTTGTGGACTAGTTCTGGTTTCCCATTCAACAGGTGCATGGTTGAATATTTTGAATACTCACTAAAAACTCATATATGATACTATTCTCAATATAAAAAAAGCAAAATTGATTAGCTTTCTTGTCAAGTGATGCACATGGACAAATCAATTCTTGACATATATTTTTCTTCTGAAAAATTGTAATTCACTTGTTATGGAGCTAACGGATGCTTGATTTATTGCTTTGATTTTTTCCTAATTTTGCTTAAGCAGCTTAGTTAAATAAACCTTGCCTTTTGGGTAAAGTCAAATAGTTTCTCTTTTTCCATAAAGGAATTTTAGGACTAATCTTATATTCTTCTTTCCATCTCCGACATAGTTTAACGTGCATTTCTTGCCTTCCAACTTCATAACTTGATCTAATCTCTTCTTGGTTTCTCTTTCATTAATGTGGTTGTTGCACTTAATGAGCATATGGCAAACAAGGAATTTTAATTTATGATCTGTAGTTCATCTTGTATTTTTCTTTGATTGATACATAGAGCATGCTCCATATAGTCAATTAAAGAATTGACTTAGAAGCCAGTAATAGAAGAAGAAGGTGAAAGCCACTAGCAGAAAGTCCTTGCTCTCCTCTATAAAAGTACCTCACAAGAACAATAGCATAAAATTCTTTTTTTCCTTCCAATTGGGATACATATACAACTTTTTGACTTCACACTAGCAGAAAAACAACTATCACGAATAAACAACCACTAACAATAGTTAAGCCTACTAAGTAAAAATTTGTAAAGATAATATGAGAAGAACAATAAATAGAAAATAAAGTTTGACGAGCTGCATCAATTCTTTCCTCCTCCAGAAGAACTTGAATTGAGTTTGTCCCGTCATGTGTGATCATCATCAGGTGGATGATAAGCGTATATATCGACAACATTGAAATAGGCCGATATGTTTAAATCTGATGGGAAAGAAACTACATAAGCTTTATTGTTGATACGCTTACCAATGGAAAATGGGATGATCTTCATGGTTTCAGTTTAGATTAAGTGTAAACAGGAAATCATTCCTTGAGAAGGTGGATCATAACTAACCCACCAACATTAAAGTTTTTATTCCTTCAATGATCATCTGTTTTATGCTTAAAGCTGTGTAGTTATAATTAACTTTGTCACATCTTGAAGCATGGCATCAAAGTTGGTTAATGATGTGGGTGCTACGGTGGAGTATAATTTTAAATTATAAAAATGCCTAAGGTTCTATCTCCCTTAAACGATGCTTATGCTTTTTTTGATATAAAATAACAAATCCCACTTAATATACAAAAGTATACGTGCCGAATTAAGTAATAAAGTGATAGAATAGAGTGTCGAACCCACGATGAAGTATGGCTCTTCAGCAATTAACTACTACTGTTTACGCTAATTGCAAAATTATCCTACTGAAATAAAATTGTTGCTTGTGGAGATTCAATCATTGAATAAAAATAATTAAATAATGGATACAATATTTAAATAAAATATTTTAGACCGATGAATGTAAATTGCATATCTTTTCTAGTGAAATTCTTATTTTTAATATGATTTAGAGCATATGCATTCTTAGATCTCTGTCGAGCTTGTAGAGGTGAAAATGATATATTCTGGTCTCCTACAATTATATTATCTCTTTAAGAACTTAACATATTTTACATCCTATGTCTCGGTATGCAAACATACTATTTCAATATTCCTAGTTGTTCTTACATTCCTCCATTGATGCTATACATTACACTTGATTTTAACTACACATATGGACACTATGTGCATTAAATAAAGAGCGAAATAATATTGAAAATATCATTTAACTTTAAAACACAAGAATTTTTATTAGTACTTAATATATTATCTACATCATCAATCTAAAACTAAAGAATTAGTCAAACATTGAAGAAAAAATAAACAAATTCATTTCCATTAAAATCATAGAAGATTGAAAATACAAGAGAATGATATCACCAGGAAAGACCAATGTATCTCCTTTACACTCCTTCCTTAACGTACGAAGTTGCTTAAATAAATAATGACTAAACATTTTAATGATTATATCCGGTACTTCCCGATTCTCTCTTAGATTTGACTCTAAGAGAGATCTAAAGAAGTACTCTGAAAAGTACTGAAACTATGTAAGTGACTGAACTCATTTACAAGCATAGCACAATGACTTTTTATAGGAAAAATACAAAGTAGGCAATAGGCGCTGCACACTTGGAAGGTCGGCGCCTTTGCGCCCCAAAAATGAGCTAATGCCGCTACGCTACTGTTTTAGCTATGCCGCGGCACTTGCTGATATGGATCAGTTACTTAGTGAACAATCTCATCGTTTCACTGCAGATCGTGTCCTTTGGAAGTTACAACTCTTACGCCACGGTGCTGCTACTTTCGAACACTGCGGCATCAAAATGATAATTTTAGCGCCGAAGTGTGATAGATTGTGATGTTGCGGCGCTTGAAGACAGTGAGTATGACGCTGTAAAGCTGACCATTTTGATGTCGCGACGTTATCCAACAAAGAAGTTGGCATCGTCATGTCAATATTGTGGCGCTTCAGTGGTGCCTTTGATGACACAGCGATATTATTTTTGTGACGCCCTAGAATCAAATTTGGAATAATTATTCTTTTATCTTTTAATAAACAACAACCAGAGCCACCTATTTTTTATCAATATTAATTGCAGCGGAAATAAAACTATCGATTAAAACATCAATATATACATCTGTATTCAATTCCAAAAATTCATATACACTACTTAAGGTCTATACAATCATCACACATCTATCCCATCATGAGTACAAAAGAATAACTAAAAAATTTTTTTTGAGCTTGAAGAATCATGACCAGCCTTACACTCCTGATCATCTGCCCTGACTTGAAATCATTTAACTACATATAATGAGCTAAAAATTTCAGAGGTCACCAAAACCTACAATTGAATTTAAAGCACGATAAATGAGCAATATGCATGTCAAGGATCAAATTATAACAGTAACATTCATAAATTCACAGCAATACATAAAATAATACATTATTTACATTTATCAACATCTCAATAACAAGTCTACATTGTGTCTTGGGATGAACGACAATATCTGCATGTGGTTTGGTAACTTGGTAGAGATAATGTTAAATGCACTTCCCAGCAACACACTGATTGAGCATATAATTATATGGGAAATTGGCTTGCCTCAACACTTCATCTCTTTGTTTCAGATTTTTTCTAGGGATACAATGGATCATATTGCTTAATGTGTCGTTAATAAATTCAATTTAACCATTTAGTTCAGGGTGATTTGCTAAACTCAAACAAAGTTTGGTTTGTAGGTGTTTTCAAGAAATTTCAAATCTCTATTGCTCACTATTTCCAAATGATATTCTTAATATGTGAAACTTATTTTGATATAAAATATTAGTAAAAATAATGGAGACAAAAACTTTGCAAAATAAGGTGCTTTTAATAACTAGAAAGGTTGATCATGCAATATGCGATTTTGGTGTACTTCTAATCGATAATCGATAATTAAAATGATCATGATAATTGCAATTTGTTTTGTTGTTTTGGTTGCACTTGAGGATTTAATTAATATAGCAAAAATAGAATGTTGATGGTTGGAAAGTATAACCACACAACAAAATAAAAAAATAATAATAACATAAAAGATTATTAGGATTTAACGTGAAAAAACTCAGAACTGAAAAAAAAACCATGGAGTCACACCACATCAAGAAGTCCACTATGAAAATGAAAGAAATTATGCATATATTTCTTCTCACCCTCTCATTTTATCTCTCTTCACTTCTCACGCTGTTATACGCTTGGCATAAATAACAAGACACTCTTATACAAAGGACAACCTTTCAAGTAAAATAAGAATAATAAGAAAGAAAAACTACTAAACCCAACTTGCAGCATCGTAGCGCTCCACTCTCTGTCCCTGAGTCTACCCTACAATGCCATGGAGCTCCACTCTCTGATCTCTAATCTAAGACTATAACGCTGCAACGCTCAAGTGTACAGCATCGTGACGCTATACACTAACGATGTATATTGATCCTGATTTTGATCAATCTTTCTCTCATTTGTAGTACCAATCATAGTACATGTAGTGTAGCTTACCCCTACCCTTAACATTTATGAATACCAACTGAAGCTACACATAGCTTCGATTTATCAACTGTCACTGTCTTCGTCAACATATCTACAATATTATGGGTTGTGTATATTTTCTTCAAAGATAGTTGACCATCTTCCACAAGCTACCTAATGAAATGATTCCGAACCTGAATTTGTTTTGTCATGGTATGGAATGCAATATTCTTAGCTAGATAAATAACACTAGGGGTGTAAGTGAGTCGAGCCAGCTTGCGAGCCGGCTCGAGCTCGACTTGTTTATGGGCTCGCAGCCGAGCTTATCGAGCTCATGAGTCGATCTCGAGCTCGAGTTTGAGCTTGATGAGGCTCGGCTCGTGAGCTCACAAGCCGGGTAGAATAATTATTAATTTTTTAAATAATTTTATTTATTAAATTTAATATTTAAAAATTAATAATAAATGCTAAACATATTTTTAAATTTAAATATTTTTAAATCCCGCTTAAATTTTAAAAAATTTCGCCTAAAT